TCCTTGAGGTTATTGCTTAGTTTGTTGGAGAAATGCAAGCATATCTTAAGATGTTAGTGTTAAGGTCCATTTGGAAAGCATGAAAATGACTTCTGGAAAATGAGTTATTTTTCAGAAAACATTTTTCTTTCCAGTGTTTGGTTGCATTTTGGAAAACTTGGTGTGTTTGATTTATTTTCTAAAAAATGAGTAGAATTGTATAATTAAACATTTTGGCGGAAAATGACTTCCGCCAAAATGACTTCATTTTCCCCAGTCAACAGAAAATGTTTTCCGTTGACTAGATTTTTCTGTTGCATCCAAACACTGAAAATTTGAAAAATATTTTTCAGAAGTCATTTTCCTCATTTCTAAATGCACCCTTTGCGGAAAAGCCTATAGAAAACAAAACTAAAAGAAAAAGATTATCTTGTCAAAGTTGGGACTAGCTTCCGTGAGGGCTTGAGGCTATGCATCCTCTATTGATACAATAATGTTTACTTGACAATTACATTGGAGATATTTAATTGAAGCTATAATGGAGTAGAGGCCCAATGGTTCTCTCAAATGGGAGGTCGTATTCAACAAAAAAATATATATCACTTTAACATATAATTAAGTATGGTGAAATACAAATTAAAATAATAAATATAAGATATATTTCCTCAAATTACATATCCTTAACTCGTCCACACTAATACTACCCATAGCTCTAACTTGATTAAAAGCCCTTCACATTCTCAATAATTAAAGATGATTAAATATCGAAAGCTCGTACGAACAAATTTTGAATCAACGTCTAGAATGTAAAATAAAACTACGGTCTATAGTATAATTTGTCCATCAGATTCTCTTTGTAACGGTTGAGTCACCGTAATGATCCTGTCAGTAAGGATGTAGGACCTACCATAAGAAATTTTGTCTTTGTAGAGTCTAGACAATGATTAAATATTGAAAGAAATCTTATATTAATTATTAGAGATAAATTAAGGTAACTAAATTACTTTAATCCAAAGGAGAAGATTTTTTACTTTAAAATATTTTTTTTAAAAAAGATAAAATATCCAAATTGAGGCAATTCCGAGCATTAAAGATTCTTGAAATAAAAACCCTACCGCACTTCTCGATCTCAACCGTTAATGTCTTAATCCGACGGCCAAATCTCTTGCTCCGCTCGCGCACATCAAGTCCCCCCCCCCCCCCCCCCCTACTTCACTGTTCTCCACACTTCTCTCCTCAAAACCCTCGCTTTCTCTCTCCAAAACCATCGCTTTCTCTCTCTAGAACTATGGCTCCAGCTCATAACGATCACTGCTTACACTCTGATCTCTCTGCTTATCAGTGAAATCGAATACTCCGCTCAAATAATTTCTCTCACAGCGTATCTTAAAATCGGGATTTTATGCGGAAAGATGGAATTTTTATGAGTTTGTTTGTCGAGCTCTTTTTAATTTTTGGATAAATTCCAAGGCCTCCTGTTAATAAAAGCTAAAGGTTGTCAAATTTAGAGGCCCTTTTTGGGTTCTGTTAATGCTTTTTGTAATTTTTATTTTTATGCGTCTGTATTGTTTAGATGATTACTGATAACTATACTAAGATGATGTCGGATATCGGGATGCTCGCGAGTGGCAGCGATTTTGGCGAAGAGTTGGAGTTGCTGCTGAGGGAGCAGCAGAGGCGGCAGCTAGAGGAGGCGAATGATCTAGAGCGAGAGCTGAGCATTTACAGGAGCGGCTCGGCTCCACCGACGGTGGAAGGATCGTTGAGCGCCTTTGGCCGTCTGTTAGGCGGTGGTTTGAGTGGAGTTTCAGAGGAGGAGCTCAGGTCTGATCCTGCGTACATTTCGTATTACTACTCGAATGTGAATCTAAACCCTCGGCTTCCTCCGCCTCTGCTGTCCAAGGAGGACTGGCGGTCGGCGCAGCGGCTCCAGGGCGGCGGTGGAGGTAGTAATGGTGCTGGTGGTAGTGGTAATGGGAGTCCGCTGGGACTTGGAGGGGTGGGAGACAGGCCTAGGGTAAGAATGGGCGCTGAAGGAGCCAAGGACAAGTCTTTGTTTTCTATGCAGGTGGGATTTAATGGGAAGCATGAAGAAAATTTAACTGAATCCCCAGATGATTGGGGATCCAATGGACTAATCGGATTGCCAGGATTGGGTTCTGGAAGCAGGCAGAAGAGTTTTGCTGAAATGATTCAGGTGAAACTGACATGAACTGTATTCTAAAATGATTAAGTATTGATTTTTTGTTTGAATGTTGTGAGCTTTTGAATTGTTTACATTCATTACAGGTTACCTTTCTGTTGTGATTCTCTCATATTAGTCATTGTTCATTTGTGTGCTCAAGTTTGATTGCTGCTGCTGTTTAAACTTGAATGCAATATTAATTGGACTGGGCTTCTCTGCTCAGTTTTTAATATCTTTTTATATTCTTATATTGTTCTGCAGAGTGCAGATAATAGGCAGCACTGCTTTTCTGGCATTTTAGTTATTTTAGGGTACAAATTCTGCTTGTATGTCACAAAACTTAAAATGTATAGCTTTCGTTTGACAAAAAAAACTGCTTGCTGTATGCCTGCATTCTTTAATTAACTGTTTGACTTGTTGTGCTTTTCTGCTCCTTACTTCCTAATTTGGGATTTTGAGTTTTAATTGATTGTCCACATGAATATCTAATATATCAATCCATAATCTAATAGTTGACAGAAAAAGGAAGGGGTTGGCTTAATCTTGGAATGAAGTTATGAAGAAAGTTACATTAGTTCAAGCTTTGACTTCAGATTTAGCACTTTTTATGATAGAAGAAGAAATAGAATTCAAGAAGCTAACTCCAAGTAGATTAGCATTAAGGCATAGTTTAGAGTGCATGTTTATATTTGGAAACAAATATCACTTCCAAGACGTCTTGTGTGACTGCCTCTTTGCCTTTTGTATGCTTTTTCCCTCATATTTTGCAGTGCATTGTCACCCTGGCTCTGTTGAAGGTGTTTGCCAAACATAAATGATAAATGTCTGCTTAATGTGTTTGATGTCTCTGTAATTCTTTCTTGTTCTGAAGATTTTCTTTTTATTACTGTAGGATGATATAAGTTACAGAACATCGACTTCAAGACATCCATCTCGTCCAGCCAGCCGTGTACTCAATGATTTCATCGAGTCTTCCGACTCTCAGTTTACTGATCTCCAACATGAACTGTCGTCTTTGGATGCGTTGCATTCTCAAGCAAATGTTCCAGATGTATCTTCACTGCAAAACATTGGGTCATCTTGTTCTCATACGTATTCTTCTGCTTTGGGTGCTTCACTCTCAAGAAGTACCACCCCAGACCCTCAACTTATTGCTAGAGCTCCTAGTCCACGAATTCTGCCTGTTGGAGTGGGGACAAAAAGCTCCTTTGAAAACAAAAATGCGAATGTCATAAATTCATCAGTTGATGCTTCACCTGTTATGACTGAGCCTGCAGATTTAGTTTCTGCTCTGTCTGGCCTGAACCTTTCTGCTAATACCATGGTGGATGAGGAAAACCATCTAAAGCCTCGAATCCCTCATGAGATTGATAATCAGCAGAATTTCATGCATATCCAGAATGGAAAGAATCATATCAGGCAGCATTCTCTCTTAAATAAAGCTGGTGTTCTATCTACTGGTTCACACTTGAAAGGCCCCTATACACCAACTCTAAGTAGTGCCGGGAGTTCGCCAGCTCAGCATCCAAATATTGATAGTCCAAATTCAGTGTCTTTTGGCTATGGTATGGGGGGCTATGGTATGAATCCTCCATCACCATCTATGTTGGAAAACCAACTCGAGAGTGGTCATTTGCCTTACCTATCTGATAATGTTGGTGCTGGAACAGCAATTGGAGCTTCTGGAATTGACTCACGATCAATGGGAGGTGGCTTAACTTTGCCACCTAATTTATTAGCTGCTGCAGCAGAAATACAGAACCTCCATAGACTTAGGAATTCAAGCTTGGGGAATTCTGTTCAGAATCCCTTGATGGATCCTCTGTACCTTCAGTACTTGAGATCAACTGATCTTTCTGCTGCTAACCTCACAGCTCTTAACAATCCAATAATTAACAGGGAATCCCTGGGCAATTCATACATGGATTATCTTGAACTTCAGAAAGCTCACCTGGGATTGCTTGCTTCTCAGAAATCACAGTATGGCTTTCCAAGCTTTAGTAAAACTGGTGGCATAAATCATGGTTACTATGGAAATTCAACACTTGGTGCTGGTATATCATACCCTGGAAGTCCATTAGCAGGTTCAATTCTTCCGAATTCCCCTTTTGGACCTGGTAGTCCTGTAAGGTATGGTGAAAGGAATATGCATTTTACATCAGGCATGAGGAACTTGGGTGCTGGTGTAATGGGTGCCTGGCACTCTGATTCACCATCTAACTTGGGTCAGAGTTTTGCGTCATCATTATTAGATGAGTTTAAGAGCAGTAAAACTAAATGCTTTGAGTTATCAGAGATAGATGGTCATGTTGTTGAGTTCAGGTATACATTCTTGCTTGTATGTTTTTTTTTTCCCCTTCATTTCATCAAGATCTCTGAAAGCTAAGTCATAAAGAATCTTCTTTGCAGTGCGGATCAGTATGGAAGTCGGTTCATTCAACAAAAACTTGAGACTGCTACTGTTGAAGAGAAGAACATGGTCTTCCATGAAATTTTGCCCCATGCTCTTAACTTAATGACTGATGTGTTTGGTAATTATGTGATCCAAAAGGTAGGTATATGTTTGTAATGAATACGCTTATTGGCCTCATCTGAGGCATTTCATTGTCTCCATTTTACATAGCATAAATAAATAGTTATATGTAACATAACCTCTCTGACATATTCCTCTTTCTCCTACCTCTTTTAGTTTTTTGAACATGGAAGTGCCACTCAGATTAGAGAACTGGCTGACAAACTTACTGGCCATGTTCTCACTCTTAGCCTGCAAATGTATGGTTGCCGAGTTATTCAGAAGGTATCTTAAATGCTGCTAAGTTGCCACTGAAATAAATTCTGTCAATGGTCTTTTATGGTCTAGACTTCTGTGTGACTTATGGTTTGTTTGTATCTTGTGTGATACCAAGACTTGTTAAGAATATGGTTTGTTTGTATCTTGTATGATACCAAGACTTGTTAAAAATCTTTCTTCACTTTATTTCTATTGTTCATATTTGAAAAATCCTGCTATGAGACATGGTGGATAAATTCAACTTTTTCTCAAATTTAAGTTGCTTTAGGAATTTATTTCTACCGAAAATAGAAAGTATCTCCTGGAATATTGTTACTTTTCTAACTAATGTGTTCTTTGAAGTAGAAGTAATTCTAAATTTCATTTTATGTTGGTTTGGACAAAATATTTTACTTTATTTTTAAAAAAGGAGTTCTGATTCTTTTACTACTTCATCTTTGGAGAAATTTTTGTTTACCAAAATTTTGTGTGCTTTCTTTAATATTAATTATCTTGACGTCAGCAATTTTTATTTGGTAGGATTTGGATCTCTGTTGTGATCTTTACATATGAAGTAATGAAACACTGATCTTAGTCTGTTAAAGCAATTTTGCTATAGGTCTTAGCTTGAACTGTCTTATTCTAAATTCTCCAGGCAATTGAGGTTGTTGATCTGGATCAAAAGACAAAAATGGTTATGGAGCTTGATGGCCAGATTATGCGCTGTGTTCGTGATCAGAATGGAAATCATGTAATTCAAAAGTGTATCGAATGCGTTCCAGAGAATTCCATTCAGTTTATTGTTACTACATTTTATGACCAAGTCGTGACATTGTCCACCCACCCATATGGGTGTAGGGTCATACAGGTCAGGAAAATTAATTTACTGCACTGCCTGTTATTGGCTTATAGTGTTAATGGTATTATGATGTGATTGAAAGTGAGTTCTTTGAATCTAAATCATGTGCCTTCTCATAACAGAGAGTCCTGGAACATTGCCACAGCTCTGAAACGCAAAGCATAGTAATGCATGAGATTTTGCAATCTGTTTGCATGTTGGCACAAGATCAATATGGGAACTATGTTGTTCAGGTTTGCTCTATTTTCAAGAAGCTTGTTTCATTGTCTAATGTTCCACGCAGATTAATTGTTATTAACTGTTTGATCACTATCTTCAATGAATCTTTCTCATGAAGCAACTCTTTACTTTCCATATATCTCTCTCTTAAATAGGAGAACCTAAGAGTTTTGCTTCTCCCTTCAGAAGCTTAAAGTTCTTAGGTTTGATGTCTAATAATGCTAGTCCTTGGAGTAAAAACATATACCTTAACCTACAACTGCTGTTGATTTCATTAATGCTATTGAGCTGCCTTTTATTCTGTTCAACTCGAGCACGGAGATGCCATTTGATACTTACCAAAATGGAGTGGATACGTTTATTTAAATTATTTATTTGTTTACTCAATGATGCAAACACGGGGGTTTCTTTTAGATACTGAATAAAGCTTCCTCTCTGTCGCAGTTGAATGATTTCCTTTAATCTCATCTTATAAATGAGAAAGAAAACCAAAATGGAAATAGCCCCCCCTCGCTTTTAACAATTTAAATCGGTTGGTAAGCCTTCTAACTGAATGTGCCTTGTGGTGCTACAGCATGTGTTGGAACATGGAAAGCCTGATGAACGTTCGGCTATAATTAATAAGCTAAAGGGGCAGATAGTTCAGATGAGCCAGCAGAAATTTGCCTCCAATGTTGTGGAGAAGTGCTTGACTTTTGGTAGTCCTGAAGAGCGCCAAATCTTGGTGAATGAGATGCTTGGTTCTGATGAAAATGAACCTCTTCAGGTTTGTTGGTTTCATTTGGTACAATTATTACTGCTGTAAAATGAACAATGCTTAACCTGGCACAATTCGGCAACTGTGTTTTTTGTAGACAATTGCTTGCTTGACTTTATAATCTGCAAAAAAGGTGCATGGGCTTGGGGTTTTCTAACTTAACCAAACTATCAATAACTGAGATTAAATGAGCCAGATTGGATATTCATTCACTGTTGGTAATAAAGCAATCATGGGAAGAAGTAATTATTCGCTGACATTGATTAAAATTTTCATTCTCAGATTCAAGATTCATCTCATATTTCTTTCTATACAATACATTACATGTTTTACTAATTTGATATGATCTTTGCACAGATTATGATGAAAGACCAATTTGCAAACTATGTTGTACAAAAAGTGCTGGAGACTTGCGATGACCAGCAACTCGAACTTATCCTCAACCGTATAAAGGATCACTTGAATGCCCTGAAGAAATATACTTACGGGAAGCATATCGTAGCCCGGGTAGAGAAACTCGTCGCAGCTGGAGGTATTCTTTTTTCTTTTTTAATTTCCTTTGCTTCAATGCAGAATACATCTCTACTTTTCCTCACTTACCCATGGGCTTGCAAATCATATCTGTTATAGAATTGCGACCATGAACTTGTATAATATGTAAGCACTCACTCGCATGTTCAATCTATTATTGCAGAGAGGAGGATTGGTATTCTGTCATCGTATTCTGCATAGGTGGGATAGAAAGGAAATTGTACAGCTAACTGAGGCTAGTATGACTGTCCCGCTTCCTTTTTACTATGTCCAGTTATAGCCCAACTACCCCTTAAGAGGGACGAGGGCAAGAATGAAGAAATAAAGTTGTTGGTGGATGTACTTACAAACATGTACATTTGTTAGTTTGAGGATGTTATAATATCTAGAATATCAGGTTAAGAGACTAGAGAGGCTCAGATGGTAAAAACATAACTGATGTCACTGTGCCAACAAAAATATACTACTGTACAAGTTTGAAGAGTGTAAAGAGGAGGAAAAGCGTAGCTCTTGACTGTAAAAAATGGCGCTATGAGCAGAGAATCAGAGCCGGTGGCTTCTAGGATTATTAGCGAACAAGTTTACTAATGTATGGAATGGAATAGTAATAACTTTTTCTTTTCATAATGAAACATTCACTCTCATGTTTGGGAGCTGTATGCTATACTCCCTCCTGCTCCTGCTTGCTTGAATGCTCAGTTTTTCTTGTTTCTTTCAATTCATTTTGTGCTTACTAGTTGCTTGATTAGGTCTGCAAGTTGCTCGACTCGAGTATTAAAATGCTCGAATTTTGCTCACTTTTGTTATTCCAGCTACTTTGATATCCTTTCTCTACCACATTACACCTTGGAATGCCCCATTCTTATAGAGATAAACGTGCTTTCACATCCTAAATGGCTGCTGGGAATTCTAGCTCAGTTCAACAGTAAGTGAGAATAGTCTAATTAATTCAGACTTAATTATTAGGCAACAAATAAATGCAATTACATTTTTTAACTAAGAACGCAAAAGACAAAGTAAAAAAAAAAAAACTATTTATATCTTTGAAATATGAATCTTACTTGTTGGTAGTTGGGGTGATACATCTCTTGATGATCAATTACTCTTATCCCGTTACGGAGTTGGTAGTAGATTAGAGGTGATGTATTTCCTGAAGATCAATTACCTTATCCAGTCACGGAGTTGGTAGTTGGGGTGATATATTTTCTGATGATCAATTACTCTTATTCGGTCACGGAGTTGGTAGTTGGGGTGATATATTTTTTGATGATCAATTACTCTTATCCTCTCACGGAGTTGGTAGTTGGGGTGATATATTTTTTGATAATCAATTACTCTTATCCCGTAACGGAGTTGGTAGTTGGGGTGATATATTTTCTGATGATCAATTACTCTTATCTCGTCATGTTAAGTTAGACTTTTATATATTAAGGGGGTGTATTCAATCATGACTTTTGTAGAGATTGATTGACTTTCATAGAGTCGTTCAAAACTTTTTAAAACTTTATAAGACTCTATAAAAGTCTAAGAAACCTTCATAGACTTTTATCAACTTTTTATTTTAAAAAGTCTACAAAAGTCATTGAAATTCTAAATTGAATACATTCTACAAACTTTTAATGATTTTGATTCTTATCATTTATAATTTTCTTACAAAACATTTATAATATATCAGTTCTTCACCCACATCAACATTCTCAACATTATTATTTTTATCCATAGTATGCTGAGACTTATATGCTAATTACTTATATATATATATATATATATATATATATATATATATATATATTATTAATAAACATTAACAAAAAAATTCATTTCATTAAAAATTCATAACAATATTAAACCATAAAATTTATAATAAAAGAATTGATCAAATAAAATATTTAAAAATATAATTACAAGTTGTATAAAATAAAAAAAATCTAATATTAATAATATATATATATATATATATATATATATATATATATATAGAAGAGCGCTCATATGCGGCGGGGTCTTACGGTGCGGCGGTGCGGTCAAATTTCAGAATACACCAATAGTGTTAACAATATGCACCAACAGTGTAATAAAAACACACCCCAATGAAATGCAATAAAACATCACAAAATACACCACAGACTCAAAAAAACACACCATATAACTCACCACCCCCAATGGTGTATTTCTGAACAGTGTATGGTGTTTTTACTCACACCTAATGATGTGTGTTTGGTGATGCAGGGCTCTGTTTACTCTGTTTTGTGTGGTGTATTTCCTAACGTTGATGGTGCATATTTGGTGAACTATTGGTGTTGCCGCACTGTAAGAAATAACCGCACCGTAAGACACTGCCGCACCTGAACCCGCCTCTATATATATATATATATATATATAAATTATACTTGATATATTATTAGGCATCACGCAAAGAACTATTATTTGCAATAGCAATTTGAGATAGCGAACAACAACAAGGTGCTACTGTTTGCAACCCCAAATTGTTGTTGCGAACAGTAGTTCGCTATTCGTAGTACCCTGTTGTTAAATAAATAAATAAATAAATAAATATATATATATATATATATATATATTACGAATATAAACATAAAAAGAATAAAAATCAAAATATATAAGTATTTATATGAATATTATGAAACATATACTAAAATTTGACAATGAAAAATTTGCTTTGTTCATGTATTTAGGGAGAATTAGAGAAATTTAGGGATAAAAAATTCATAGAAAAAATAAAAATCAATATAAACAAGAAGTAAAAATAGTAATATTTTGAATTTTTAGAGGAAGATTGTAAAGTTTAGGAAAGAGAGAAAAATTGGTAGAGTTTAGGTATGAGGAAAATATAGGATAATGAAGAAAAAAAATAATTTTATTGAATTTAGATAGGTTTATATATAAAGTTTAAATAGGGAGAAAAATGAAGTTTAAATAGAGAGAGAAAACATTCAAAGTTGTTAGAAAGAAAATTTTGAAATCTTGGGGTTGATGGTTGGATTTCAACTATTTATATTTGAGAAGGAAAAGTCTACAAAAATCCTAAAATTAAAAAGTCTACAAAAGTTTATAACTTTTTGAATACCACATGACTTTTAAAGACTCTTTAAAAGTCTTAATCGAATACCACACGACTTTTAAAAACTCTTTAAAAATCTTGATTGAATACCGCATGACTTTTAAAAACTCTCTAAAAATTTGAATTGAATATCTCTAAATTTTTCAGATTCACAGAACTCTATAAAAGTCATGATTGAATACACTACCTTAAGTTTATAATAAAAGTCAAATAATACAGTGTAAACTCATTGAGCATTACAATGTTATAATAAACGTTTAACAAAACTAACAGC